AGCTTCTATGAGTCAAAGAAATGATGGATCTACACATATGCACATACTGTCAGTCAATAAGCATCGACTTTCATAACACTTTACACCTCCACAGGGACTAAGGAGCAGTTGGACTCCGATTGCACCCATCATCGAAACAGAACATTTAAAGTGAGAAAAGAAAAAAGCTTTTTGCTAAAGCTCAGTTTCACTAATCAAGGTTTAACTGCTTTTATTTGTAACAATTCTGTTATAAAACACGCAGGACTTAACTCATGTAAACTTTGTGTTCATTCAATAATTACATTTTGACCAAAGAGTAAAATGCACTGCTGTTTCCTTGAAAAAGGAAACATTTATGCATAGAGGTGAGACTACCAAACAGATCCAATCAAAACTGTGTGGTAGATTTATTTCAATTCTAGTTTGTAAAAAAAAAAAAAAACTATTTCGGCCAATTCAATTAACGGTTCAAGAACGATATGAAACAAGGGAAAATATTTTCCAAACAGCTCTACTGTGAGCCACCATTAATTGAGGAAATTAAGAGAAGTAATTTCCCACAATGCAACAGAGCCAGCAGTGTTAATCAGGTTTTAGATCATTAAAAGGACAAATTATTTTCTGCTTGTTTCATGACAGAGGTGAAAAGTTCAAAAAAGAACTTTGCTGTAGCACTTCCTACTTTTTTCTGAAGTCTCACTGTCTTGCGGCTGATGGTACCAACACGTCTTAAAAATAAACTTTCCTCTGACCTCACATCTCTGTACTTCCTCTGACTTCACTCTAACCACCTTACTGATGGTAAATAAAGTTATATTTGACTCTGCTCTATAGAGGGAGTTTCCACCTAAACTGGTGCCGGTGTAGGTACCAGATCTGCTCGGGTGGTCAAGTCTGCTCAGGGTCCTGCGCATGCCATTGACGTTACACTATATGATTGGCTGAACACAGCATCTGTGTCCCGAGTCGGCAGTATCTGTAGTGTTACTGTGTCTAATGACCGATAAAGTTTTACTTCATAGGTAACAAAACTGAAAAGAATCTGTTTCTGGTGAACAAAGTAACTGTTAAACCATGGTGTAAAGGGGGAGAGCTGGGTAGCGCTGTGGCTAGCTGTGCTCAGTAGCCAACAGGTTAGCCTATTTTAGCTCAGTCAGTTAGCCATATTAAGCTACACTACTTTTGAATTTGTATCAACAACAACAGTTCATTTTCTACAAGTAGAATAACTGTTTTATTTGTCTAAAATCTCTACCAAAATCTTTTTTTAAGATGTCCCATTTGTCCTCCCCTGCCCTCAGATCTTAACAAAAAGAATAAAAATAAGCTGAGATTTTTTTTTTTTACCTTGTTAAATGGCAGAGCTCAGTCTGTCTTAGAAGGCAGTGCTTTCCTTCAAGACTGACAATGATTGTTTTCTAATTTCGGCTACTTTAGATCGCCAATGACATGTGAAATAATAGCAAATAAAGGTAATAATATGCTGAAAATCCAAAAGAGATTCAATCCTTAACAAACGGGTGCAATACAGTTTGTCCGAACGGAGTTGCCATATATTGACGTCATAAGAAGCGACAGGGCAGATCTGGTACCTACACCGTTATCCTACCAGGTAAGTTCTGATGTGCTCACTACTAACACAAAGATGAGGTTTGGCGTTTATGACTGACCGGTCACATTGAAAACTGTCTGGTTCTGGTTTATTGGTCAGTTTTTCTGTGAAAATTTTATGAAGAAATGAAAAAGAAAACAATAGGCTTTCTTTCTTTTGCATATAAAGACCCTTCAGCCCTGGGAGTTTTCAGTTTAGATTCTTTTGATTTCACTTGTCAGCAATGAGAGTTTAACTAGTTGACAGATGGTAAAATGGTATTCCTGCATTACAACTGAAGAAGCTGTTCATACGCTATCTTCAATGGGGATGGATTTTTTTAACTAACCTACGATTACAACTTGGTAGGACCGATACATCAGCCGCTAATATTTTAGTCTCATATTAGTGTAATTTCTTGTATGGTATCGGCGGATACTAGCCTAGTAAATTAGCCCCACCCGCCAGCAGCCAAAATCATTTTTGCTGTGCAACGCTGGAGAAAGTACAACAAGGAAGATGGCAACAACTATTGAACAGTTCTCATTTGACTGAGCTTTGGAATCAGTTTTGGAAAGATTAGACGTTTTTGTTGAAACGTGAGCAGGAAGAGGGTCTACGGTCATATATTTTTAAGAAGGACGTATTTGCTGTTTTAACGACAGGCTGTTTGTTTACACTCCCCCACAATCTTCCTGTTGCGCTTCCTACGTCACAGTCAGTTGCACTCATTGGTCAGAGCATTGGCCAATAGGCACAGACATGGTTTGAAAAACAACGGGTTGTTCTCATCAACAATCTTCCAATGTCTCATTCATCAGGGCCAGACTAAATTAAACATTTAGTCTCACATTTACTCTGGTTTATCAGGCTAAGCTGATACCTGCATTTTTTCATTAAATCATCAATGCATACAGCAGCCCTGCCTAGAGATGCTCATCCATTGCTGCTCCCTACTTTTTGCTATTCATTGTTATTGTTATTATTTGTTTTTATAATAAGCGTTTCTATCATAGCCACCTTTTTTCACTCCTAACTTGTTATACCAACAATATATTAATCTCAGGTCTCCCTACCACTAGTGAGAACTAAAGAAGCCACTTGGATTAGAGGTGAAACGTCTTCTAGAAAACTTCACGTCCAGTCCACTAAACTGAACGTTTCAAGCTTATCCTACCATTCTGCTCAAAGTAATTCAGATTAAACTGCAAATCTATTATCAGTACATTTTGTGATCTTTGTTATTTAAAGCAACAACCAGCAGCAGAAATACAGCAAATAAACCAGGATTCATTCTCACTTAAACCAAACTCTACTACATTTCATTTTCATTGAACGCTTAAAAATCTCAAAATAATACAATACAATAAAAGATTTTGCTGAAACATTTTCTCCAAAACTCACATTGATGCAGTAACTGAAATAAATCTGAATAATTTTCAACCATAATTACGATTGCAATCAAATTTTAAGGTTCATTTTTATTAACCACAGGCATGTTGATGTATTTATGACCTTGAAAACTTTCTCATCTGTACTCCAGTGCTGCAGTACTTTCACCATGTTGAAAAGTGCCTACTTCTATTATGACTTCTATTCACATGCATGGTTCTGCAGGCTATCTGCAACTCTGTCTTCCCGTCTGTGTGCCAGAAAGCCTGCTTTAAAAGCATTAATGCCAACTAAAGGGCTGAAGGGAGTAATTCAGTTTCTTACTACTGTTAAAGGAAAAGTCTGGTCAGCAAGGATTGATCAATGGATCATTATTTATACCTAAAACGAATACATTCATGGTGATTTTATTGAATTTAGTGTTAATCAGTAAAAAAAAAAATAACAAAACCTCGATCTGTCTGGGACCGGCCATTTTTACCCAAATATAGTAACACCTCACTGCTGATATCTTCCGGCAGTGATGTCACGTTGCGGTAAGTCTAGCGCCATTCTCCCCGCTTTAATACTCAACGTCTGCAATCAACAACATCTATTTTACATTTCGAGAGGACTTCTCCATTGAAATTCACGAGAGCTATAGTTAAAGTGACGATGTCCACATGCAGTTGGATGTTGTAATAAATCGGGTAAAAGTGAAAAAAAAAAATGTGTTCACCTTTTCGATTCATGATCTACCACAGGTTCGTCGTTGGATTGCCAACTTGAAGAGGGAGGATTTGCCATCGAATTTCTGGCCAGAGAAGAAACCCGCCATATGCAGCCAATATTTTGAAGAAGAATGATTTCAATATAATTTGGATAATAGCGCGTTGTGGCAAACACCAGATACAGCACTGGGACTTGATCAACAGTCAATACCACACCATGAAGTCACAAACCGGTAGGTGTTAGTAGTGTTCTTTGACAAACATGGATGTCTCCAGTAAACACATTGAAATCAAAACGACTCTTAATTAAACACACATAATTTATTGAACAGTATGTAATAATTCCAGATTCAAAGTACTTTCAGAAGTTTGAATTATGAATATGACCAGACTTTTCCTTTACAGGTAATGTGACCCAAATCACATGCCTCTGCAATATGACAAATGTATTTTGTTAGATTCTGCTAATGAAATTAATAGCTCAGAACCAGAAACAATTTAAGAATAAAAATAAGTTGATGTATATTGAAACAGATCAAATTTACAGAGAGATAATAATAAGTTTGGTTTTTCAAATCTACCTTTACATCCTAATATAAATTTTTTTATAAAATTAGTCAGGCATGATCTATCAAAGGTTAAAGTGACCCAGAAACTGGATATTTCTTTTACTCAGCTGTTTTCATCCACCTTACTGACTCACTCACAACAACAACGCCAACGTTATTTCAAAATAGCTTAATATGCAAGATTAGATGTTAGGTTTTGTTGTCTTATATCAAAGTTAGATTCCACTAAAAAAGATAAATCAGGAAGAAAAAGAATAAAGACAAAGAATGATCACATTCTGCAAGCAAGGACAATCAGAAATACGCATTATGCCCTCCAGTCTGCCTGGGAAAGCTTGACTACAGCATTATGTAAATGAAGAATCATCCGGATATTTAAACGAGCGCAAGATATCATAATGACTAATAGATCAACAACAATCTCTTCAAGAAAGCTAACCCCCAGTTATGACTTTACACAACAGCTCCTCTTTATACTGTAAGGAGTGATTTATATGTAGAACCCTGCATGGCACCCAAATCCTCCTAAATCTCTATAATGACAGAAAAATATCTATAACTAAAGCTCATGAAAAGGTGTTGGGATAAAAGTAATTTTTCTTATACAGCAGAAAAAAGGAGAGCTTATGTAAAACTGTCAAACCAGAAGAGATTACACCTTAAAGGGAAACAGCAGCCCCGCTGTGATAATTGCTAAACTCAGCAAATGAAGGCAGTTAGGTAATAAACGGCAACAGAAAGTCTGACTTGGCTCACCTGCCAGGTTATAGCTTCCCTGTTTCCTCTGATCTTCTAAAGCCTGAAGTCTCAGCACTCCTGCTGGTTCATGTGAAGCCGCAGAACATCTTCTGGCTGCAGTCAGTTTTCCTACAAAATAAAAAAAAAAAAGCCACAGAAACATGGCAGAAATTGGATTAATGTCACCAAAAGATTCGAGTGCATCCTCCGACATCCGATATGATTGCAAGGCTAGATAACAAAAATTGAGATTCAGCCTAAAAAGACATTCAAACATTCCTACAGCTTGCTTTTCTGGTTGATGAAGGTGAATGATCTGAATAGCTCAGAACTCTGTACCGAGTGTACAACTTTCATCTGGAGGTAAGCAGGTTAGAGTGGGCTAATTTTTAGCTTGATCGGCCCTGAAGGTTAAAACTAACAATAGTTTTGCTTTCAATTATGCAAAAAACATCCAATTTAGAGCCAACTGGTAGAGTTTAGCATGAACCATACCATCATTTTATATTGGTTTAAAATCAAGAGAGACTAGAACTGCTTACAATGGTCAGTCTGCATCTAATGACTGATTCTACAAAAAGCAATAATGAGCTGATGCATCAAACTGATTTAAAATTAGCACCTAATTATAAAGTTAAGAAAGCAGAGGGTGATCAGTAAGGACTTTTAACCACAATAATCATCAGATATTTAAGATAGAGTATATAACCATAATAATCACAAAGCTTTGAATACCAACAAAGAGAATTGACCCACATCTTCCTCACATCATCTAGACATAAAATAATGATTTCTTAGTGGTCACTGCTTTCCAAAAGGAACCGAGCTGTGAACGTGACAGAGCACAAAACAAACACAGCTCCTTTCTGGTGGACGCTAACGATCAGATCAGAAAGACAGAGAACCAGGATGAATGAATAATGCTGACTGAATAACACACAAATACCAACACTGTCACGTCCCACTTCCCATTTAAAGCAGTGACTTGACAGAAATTAGACAGGAGCCACTCCCCTCCCTTAAATTAATCTCTGCTGTAATGTTTCACCCTCTTACCCGGCAGTCGGCTCAGGCAAGAAAACAAGCTAAATAAGGAATTGTTATTGTAGAGTTCAGCATGCGGTTTTAAACTATTAGAGTTAAGGGCCTGGGGAGGAAAAGCTGTTTACACTCCCAGCAAGTACACATGCTAAAATTATTTCCTTTTTAGCATATAATCCAACACAAACATTAGTTTCTAGTGGTCAGTAGGTGGAGGAGAGCATAGGGGGTGGGTGTGGGAAAACAAGCTAGTTTTTTAAACCCACTTGCAGCTTTGTAGGTTTCCATGCTATTTGCAGTTTTTTGTTAATTTTTATTTGTGGAAATCTGTATCGGTATTCTCTACTGTATGTTTTAATAGAATGGGTTCGTTTATACAGTTATCCAATTAAATAAAAGTGTAAATGGATATAATTTAGAGTATCTGTTGCACAGTGTCGTCCAGTCCCTGATTGGTTATCGCAGTAAAGTTCAGGTTTATAAATACTGGGTTAGGGTTTTAAATACTGATTTGCGTTATCGACTTTTCGCTTCGTTCTTAATGCACGTTGCTCGAAATGCATCTTTCGCATTGTTGACCGCTACTTTCCTGTTGATAGGGTTAACATGTCAGTCATTTGCTCCACTCACACCCAGCAGCCAACCACAGGCTATTAGCTTCTAAAAACAGCTTATTAAGTCTGTTTTCTCTGTGTTCCATGTTGCTTTGCTCTAACTAACCTGCATAGATGCATGCCAGCAGAGACCTTAGAGACCAGGGAGATTATAGTGATGTAATCCGATTGCTAATGCTAACATAAAGGCCACTGCAGGCCCCGCTGGGGGATTATCTCGCCTTTTGTCCATCCTATTTAGAATTTATTAGTACGTAGCTGTAGGAAAGCCAAACCAAATTTTTGTTGAACATAAAAGGTTATGTTGCACATTTACTTAGCATTGATTAGGGGTCAACAATGATTTAATATTATTATGTCACAATTTTTTTATCTTAACTGTAAAATGTTTAAATATATATTTTTTTCAATTTTGGTAAACGTCTGCTCTAAGTGGTTTGCTCTGTTAGCTAAAGTTGTGTTTTAGAGTCTCTATACCCCAGTTAACGATTAATCAATCATTAAATTAGTTGATAATTATTTCAATAATCGATTAATCACGATTAATCAGATGAATTGTTTCTAGTCACAATATAATTTAATTTTAATAAGGATCGTATTAATTTTCCAATATTTAAATACACATTACAATCTATAATTACATTATTAGTCATAGGATGAGGTTCCGGTCGCATTAAATATTATGTTTTTTTTAAAGGAGTAAATTCTAAAATGTTAGTTTGAAGGATTTTTATAAACATGACAAAAATAATGAAGTTTACACAGGAGTCTTCTGTGGACATTCTTGGCAGTTTTTCCTGATGCTTCTACTTTGTTTATATTGATATAGAAACTGTATTGCATCAAATAAAAGTAATTATGACCTTCAGGTTAAATCATAGTTGAAAACTGTCCAGTAAGAATGATTTAAAGCACGACTGTGTGGATTTAAAAGCTGTTAGCAGGTTGATTTTATAAAAATAAATCTTTAAAGATTTAAATACAAGTCTAAAAGAAAAAAGAATACATTTGCATAGGTCTAAGTGAGCGAAAAGTTTAAAAAGAATAATAAAATTTTATTTTTAACATTGTTTTTATTCCTTTATTTATAAAATAACAACAATTTTTACTTTCTAGATTTTTGAGGTTCTATATATCTATTCATTAGTCTTCATTGCTGTTCATCTTTTTTTCTTTTTCTTTTTGTTGTTTTTCCATTTCAAACTGAATAGAAGAAATAAGACGTCAAAGTAAACAAGGTGGAAAATGATCCATAGATACACGATAATCCTCACATTCCTGAAGCTTAGGCCAGACACTTCCCACATAATTTGATACCAATGGAGACAACAAAGTTAAAATGCTTTTAGGTTAAAGTGAAGTAATAGGTCTAAAGTGCCCCTGAGTATGAAGTTAAAACACAGATCTTGGCCAAGTCTCCCCTGGGCTTTCATTTACTCTTGGTTTTAGACATGGCCACTTCCTTCCTCCAGCTCTAATTACCATAGCACCACAGTTTGTTTTTTGTTGTTTTTTTTAAAGACACAGGCGGCCGAACATTTCCATGTGTTTTTTTGTGAATTTAGCAAGGCAATCAGCATAAACACAGAGATGAATACAAATGGCCGTGATGCCAGTGTTTTATTGCACCCTAACAGCACCAGCATCTCCTCTAACCTCTCCTTTAGCTGCAGGACTTTCAGATACACAGTCTGCTATTACAATGATATGGTATACCTCCCTTTAGAAATGATCAGGACTGAACCGACATGGCAACGGAATGTAGTTGGACCATAATAATTTACACGCTGTGCATGTGTGACAGTTGTTTGATCTTTAACTTAAAGAACTGCTGAGATCCTCCTGGGAAGAAAACAGGCAGAGCTCAACAGAACCTGGATCAAAGACTTTGTATCAAACTAACCCTGAAACCGTATATGATATTAAAGGATTTGGATTGAAACAGCAAGTATCGGGTATTCACTCCTTACTAGACAGGAGCCACAATCCAAGAAATAGTCATTTAAAGACAAGCTGTGTGCTGTTCTAATGCTTAGGACAGACGTTTAGTTAATAGGACCAGAATAAAACCAGAAAATACAAGTCATGCTTTTTTCCTGCACTTTATTTTTTTTAACATTCTTATCCAAACCAAAACAAATATATAATCAAGTTCCAATTACTTCAAAAGATTGCAGGAATCTTTTATTCTTCCCCATGAAAAGATTGGGAACCACCAAATGAAAAAAGAAAGAAATTTTCCGTTTTCAATTAGATTATTACAAGAACATTAACCAGTTTCCTAAAATATTTTACTTTCCAGTTTAAATGCTGATCTGCTTGTCCCACTGAGGCTTGCATCTTAAATTGCATCCCTTCCAAATGGGATAGAAAGCCACAGAAGGAGCAGCCAGCTGACTCACAGAGATTTCAAGCTAGATTTTGTTCCCTACACAATAAACATCAGCATGATAATCACATGAGGCTAAAAACTCATGATTCAAACTCAAAAAGACAACTAGAGTTCAAACCTAGCTCAAGGTTTTAAATTTGGGGCAACATTTGGGAAAGACGGCCCATACTACCTCCATTCCTAGCCAATCCAAACATAAGCCAGTGACTATTTATCCACAGATGATTTCACAAGTCAGAAATCTTGTAAACAAGGTAGAGTTTGGCATGTGATTGAACAGCTACAATCACCGTGAAGGTATGAACATTAAACTTCAAATGCCGGGGAGTTAGGTTGAGTAATGCATTAACCATGAGGTCATCACAACGCAGCTGAAGGCGGATCGGAAAACGTTTCACATCTGATCACAGAGATAAGGCATTGCTCACGTTCAGATGGCATCAGCCTCTATATTTAAAAATGATTCAGGTCGAGGAGTGTGACGCCTCCTGGATGCAAACGTCCGAGTTAAACCCTTTTATAGCCACGCTTATACAACATGGGGTTCCTTTTACTTCCCTGAGATTTTGCCACAGACTTTCCAACTTTCTTTCAGTCCACTCAGTAGGCCTACAGTTTAAATCTCAGGGTGGGCAGCTGGCTTTACATGCAACGCATTTGTGGACAAAGGGGAAACTCCAAATTGTCGTGGTGAGGGCAGCCACCCATGACAGCTCTCAGTGGGATGCTGGTTGTTTATGATCAGCACTAATTGCTGGTCTGCAGACTCACTAAGCTTCAGAAACTCCAGTCCACATAAAAGTAACCCAGAACTGCAAGAGTTTATTCAACCAAACATAGAGAGGGTGACGGATAAAAACCAACGTCTCTTTGTTTATGCTGAGCATTCCTTTGCAGCACCCAGTTTAAAGTAGCTTACTGCCTAGCAGAGAAACACTTAAGTTTGGCGGCTATCATGTAAGATCTTCACTTTTTGTCCAGCCATACACCATGACAAAGTACACTAACTTATGAAGCAAAGGAAAGGGATAGATGGCTAAAAAAACAAAAAAAAAAAAAAAATGATTTTCCCAAACCCATAGTCCATCTATTGCATTTCCATTCATCTCCCTCCAAGAGTCAATACTCTGATGAGCCCCATTTCACTATAATTATAGAGAAAAGCCTCTGAAGTAGGTGTGTACCAACTCTGCACATCAAAAGACCGATTCTTTTTTTAAAGTTTTTGTCTCAGTAGCTCAGGTTCTGCCAGAATGGATGAAAATTTTTTGTCTTACCAAAACTGGACTTTGACTGGATCATTCTAACAAACCAGGAAAGAGCAACATTAGGCCTAAAACAACACTGTCCTGCAGTTATTGAAAATAAATCCAACATGCAGAAACACCTACACACACAAAATGGCATACATTTTAACGAAGGCCATGTTTTTGATGCCTTCCAGAAAGAAGCTAAAGTTACGACCAGCATGGAAGCCAGCTCTGGTGGTAAGTAGCTAGTTTTATATCACTGGCTGTGCTTAATGTGGTTCCTAGTAAATCATATGCAATTTCTGGAAATAAACCAATGTCCTACCTCTCTTTGGGTAATTAAGGGAATGTGCCTTACTTGTTATTCCAGCCCTTCATTGCTAGCATGCTTAATTAGAACTACTGGTAGCTGGAAATACTGGAATTCTTACATGATTCTAGCTATTGCAATGGATGTAAGGAAACATGCTACGAAGTTGCTTGGCAGTTCAGGGAGCAAGAGAAAGGTGACGCTCATTTATTTAAATCAGGGGAGATGAGTTTATTTCCCGAAATTGTACAGTAATGCTTTTTCATTAAACGGATGCCTTCTCCATTAGATTTGGAAGACTGTGACGAGACGGGTAGCCTGGCTGGCTCAGAGGCTGGCAGCTCCCGTTCACTGCCTTATGTTTTCTCCGAGGCAGGCAGAAATAGAAAGTCCCAGGTTTCCAAGAATTGATGAGAGAATCGATAAGGGAATCAGAATCGTATAAAATCTTATCAATTCCCAACCCTAGTCCCTGATCAAACACCTGAACAAATAAACGGTTAATGGCCATTGACATTCCGTGGTCATTATTCAGTCTTGTTTCAGGTGTGTTGATGCACAGTTGGATGGAAAAGCTGCACGACCGTGATCGTCAGCGACGGACATTACCTACCCTGATCTAAATAATGATATGGTAGCTCTAGTTGTATGTCTGTTAAAAATGATGGGGCTTCTCAGCTGCTGTTAGAGAAAATCTTCCACCCAATCTAATGTTGCTACCACCATGTTTAACCTTGGACATGGTGTGTTAGTTTTCCACCATGCAGTTCTTTGCATCGAAGCCTGAAGGACCGCCACGAGTCTCATTTGACCTTCATAGTGCTGTAGTTCACTAATGCTGACAACACATTACACACAAACTGGCTCTATGTACTCGTTTAGGTGATTTCTGGGGGCTGTTGTTTGCACTGGACATGTAGTAGAGAAAAATCAGAGAAAAAAGGGACAGATTCAAACTGCACAGCAATTTTTTTCTGTACGCATTATTTCCCTTCCTCTTCACAAATACAACATGTCAGTTTTTCTATCATTCATCAATTTTCTGTCACACTAAATCCCAGTTGGTGTCACAAGGGGTGCTGGTGCCCATCTCCAGCTGTCTATGGGCGAGTGGCGGGGTCCACCCTGGACAGGTCACCAGTCTATCGCAAGGTGGTTTTCTATCATATAAAAACCAAAATATGAAGAAGCTGTTCAACATTTGCAAAGAGCTACAGGTAACATTTTCCATTTATGTTGATATGAATCCCCTGCACGATTTATTTTTTCTTATTTTGTTTTTATTTTTCATACTGTATGGTCTAATTATTTCAGTGTTGCTTATGTTGGCCCTATATTTAAAAGAACAAAAACATGACGGACCTGCTTAGTTGAAGCCCTCTCTGCTCTCATTACAACGTGTGACCTCTTTTCCAGCACGCCTCTGCAGAGCCAAATTCTGGCTTGTGCAAAAACAGTAAATTAGCATGTGCTGCTCATCTTGCTGAGTTATTATTGGCAGCTACAGTGCTGTTTGCACAGAGAGGACTTTTTTATTTAACAGAGAGGGAATATGAACGCTGTGAAAAGCTGAAAGAAGCAGTGATCATATTTTCTGGGTGATACTGACTCCGGTTTTCTGTGATCTCCACCCGTCTGATCTGGCGATTCTGATTTTGAGATTCAGATTTTCTTTCTAAGGATTATTGCAGACAAAAATGATCAGCTGCAGATTCTCTGACAGAGGTAGTGGTTAGGTAGGGAGTTCCAATACCTCCTTTTGATTAAGGGGCCAAGAAAAGTTGGACTAGAACATTTACAACAATCTGTTGATTATTTTATCAAAGGTGGTCTTTTTTAATGCTTGTATTCCACAAAAGGGAAGGTTTTTTTTGTGAGGTCTACATAAGCTTCCGCTGAAAGAGTAAATGCAGGTGCACCACCTAAAACCAGAGATATAAGCCAGCAAAAGGCAGAAATCAGCATGCCCTAATAAATATGTGCATGACTTCATTCTGTATTTAAACTGCACCTCCTCATCAGATCAAATGTTAAAGCTGGAGAAACAAACTCGGGAATCCATAAGTGAACATCCCTTTTTCACTTTAATCTTCCGAAGAGCCCAGTTGTGAACTCACAAAGAACATGAGCTGCATAACAGAGCTTGTTTACCAGCTTTTAGCCAGTTGGGTGTTGGAGCGCAGCCCCTGTTGCTGTCACTCACCAGTTCTGTGAATCAGACCCCCAGGCTCCTCCTTCTTCTTTCTTTTGGGGCCCAAACCTCATGGCTGGACGCCAGTATCTGGGCAGGGCAGCCACAGGCTATCACAATCAACCCCACATCAGAAACAGCCAGCTCACAGCGACAACCATTAAACCAGATCTTCTCATCCAAATAAGGATATGCATTTTTTCAATCAGTTATGCTCTCTTTCTCACCATTCTCAGACAGATACGTCACACTCCCCTTGCAAACATTTAGCCATGATCCCCCCCCAAACACACCCCTACTAGCATGAAACACTGATGCAGTTTCAGTATGTACCACTCCGGTTTTCATACCACCATGATTACAGCACATAAGTCAAAAATGTACCAACAAAACCAAAGGAGGTGAGGGAGGGGGATGGGTGGGGGTGACAGAGCCAGGACGTACTCTGCTGTTGCTAACGAGATCCCGGTGTGGCTGAGGTGTGCGTGCGCGTAGTGTGACAGAGTGAAAGGATGGACTCTGCGTTGGGTAACTGGAGATGTGCTCTCACTCAGCTGGCTCTGTGGAAAACGGGGTGAGTGTGCAAATTTAATATGAGCGGCATCCACGTGATTTATTTCTGGAAAATGGATTTGCTGTGTCAGAGGAGGTCAGGCAGTGGATGTTTATTTACAAGTGTTGAGGTGGCGGGCGCTACGAGGCGTTTACCACACGAACGTTGTGTGATGACCTCAACCCCTTGAATCAAAGGGTGACAAATGAGTCGGTCGGGTGGGAAGTTCAGCTCGAATGCATTCGGAGTTGGGTAGTCCAAACCAAGTTCTTCGGAAGCAGTTGCAAAAGAATGAAAGTAAAACCTCTTGAATGGAAACTTGTATAATGATGAGCTGGTTACAAGAATTTTCCAAACATCCATGTTCTGTTTTGTGTAAAACAATACCAGTATAATAGCTGTAGAAACATTTTCAATCTGTACCAATCCCTAAAAAAAAAAAAAATAAAGCAAATTTCCCTCTAGGTTCATGGGAGCAATTCAAATAAACCTTTAAAATGTATATATAGTTAATAGACTTAAAATAAATATCCCTAAACTTTTTGTTGTCAGGAAAAAATGATTTAATGTAGATAAACTTGTAATTCCTTTATATCTGATTTATAATTATGACCTCATTATATCCTTTTTTGTTTTAGAAGTGTCAACGTGGACCAGGGAAATCCTGATCGGTTCTTTTGAACAACACAATATTTTGGAGACCCTTAATATGAGACGGCAGTACGAGACAGTAGCTTCATCAGTGTCAGAGAGATTTCAGTCAAGCATTAAAAAAAAACTTATTTTAAGACACTGACTGAGTTGGAGAATTTGGTAGATTTTGGCTGAAAAAGCCCTAAACATAACTCAGCAGGACAGCCTAGATTTGGCATTAGAAAATACTCCAAGACTTTTAATCACTCCCAACTTTCTAACATAAAATCAATTCTCTTAGTCTGCCAGTACAACAGTCTTTCCATGCTGAGGTAAAAATATTACAAATTGTTTGACAGTTTGAGTAAAAGGAAAAAATATATAAAAGACAAAGTCAGGAACTTGAAAACATTTAAAGCTGTCATGTTGTTCTGATTTGGCTCTGATGCCTATAAGGCGACTTTTATTCCTTGCAAGGGATTTTTTCTAATCTCATATGAGGTCTGCTTCATAATAAGACAAGATAATAACACGAAACATTTAACAGATCCGTTTTCAAATACTCTAATTTCATAAATATGCGGTGCCTTTATCTTCTTGATCCGTTCACAGTAAAAGACAACCTGCACAGGTTTATTTAACTTCCTTGACCAACTGCACTCAGTTAGAGGCCGGTGTTCCAAAGCTTAGAGGAGAGCAGCCATATGATTAGTCTCCAAATGTTACAAGGTTAGAAGCAAAAAACATTGTTCGTGAAACAAGACAATACCTTTTTTTAGGTTTTGTCTGTGCAGAATTAACAGGAACAGTGCCAACATGGGATATTACCAAGAGGCTGGTTCCACAAAGCGAGCTTAACCAGAATAACTACTAACCAATCCAATTTAACCAACCCACAACAACGGCAATCAGGATCAGCGGTAACATAAAGCCGGTTATCAACTCGCTAACTCAATCCAGCTTTTTGAATTTCATGAATCTGTGAACTCCAATGTATAAAGCAGCAGGTTCAGGGTAGCAGCCCAATGACAATTAGGACAGAAGGGAGAGCGGCATATTTCTCTTGTAAGGAACGAAAACTCATTTTACAGAAATACGAAGAGGAAAAAAGTTTCAATGGAAAAAAAATTAAACACAGTGGAGGAAACAACGATACTGGAAAGGGTGTGGAGAAGGATTGCTGACTGCGTTTGTTAAAAATCAGTACCATTTAACACAGTACTGCATGTTAATCGCATTCCCCTCGGGAGGGAAGAGGACTTTGGAGCAGATAAAAATAAAACACAAAAACATAATTTCATCTGGTTAGTTGGACTTTTCCATTCAATAATATTGGGCTACAATAAAGCTGGAAGCTGATGCAACCATTGCATCTTATTAAGACAAGAAGTGACCAGTCTGAGTTTAAACGTCCTGATTTCTGAGCTGAATTCATTCATCAGTCTGTATTTTTCCCCGAGGTGCTCAGCATCCTACATGAAGCTGCTGGTTGCATAATATCACATAGCCTTACCTACAGCATAAATATGCCAGATCCTGGAACCGTATAAACCTGTGTCTCATATAAGCAACCGTCATCATGATTCAAAGGATCTTCTCATAATTTGTGCTCTGAGTTTTATTTTTTTAAACGGCTTCATATATCAATTATACAAAAAAAAGTGAATGCCTACAGTGTATGAGGACATTATACAGGAGAAAACAAATACAGAATATTAAAAGGATGGTATGTCAAAAAGGAAGCAAAGGAAAAAAAAAATTATAAGTTAAAAACTATTTAATTTCCAAAAAGTATTTAGTTTTAAATGCTTTTTGGTTTTCAGGTTATTTTATTGTGACACTGTTTTATTTAGGTTGTTTTTCTTTTTGAATTCATTACTAAAAGGGTACATAATTATTTCCAGTTTGCCTGCTGTGTGGAGCGTTTCTAGGATTCAGATCAATCCTGAAAGTTAGCCTGCCTCCAAGCAGGTTACCTGATCAGAGTACGTTACCATGGTAACTACTTAACTAAGAATGAACCCAGCTTTGTGGTACCGGAAAGTCAGGGTTAAAGCTGAAGTTGTCTCGCTTACCCAGTCATCCTGCTTCATGGTGCAGCCCTCTGATTTAAAGAAGCGTAGACTTGTTATTAATAGATGTTACAACAGACTGCTGAGGATGGATTCTGTAAATACCTGGTTTTAAGGATTCAGACCCAAACTACTGAAAAAGTAAATGATAAACATCTGTCCAGATGTTTTTCTTAAAAAAAAAAAAGATTAACATTGCAAATAATGTTTAAACAATAATTCAGCAACCAGCTCCCCTGATGTATTTCATGGCATAGATTCTGTTTTACAGACAGTGCACTCATTTATTTAAACTGTAATGCTCCATAAAAACACCTCAGACTTGCCTCAACCAGTGAAAGTTATCTTATCAGATTTTCCAAACTTTTTTTTTTTCTAAAGAAGAGAGAAGCTACATCCATCTTCCCAGTTGCATAACCTTTGAGAATAACATCTGAATTGATTTGTGAAATAACCTAGGACTCTCACTGCTTGTGTCCATCAGCTCCCAGATTGAATCACAAGCAATACAGAACGGTACCACTTTGCCTGCAGGCACTGTGTTGCCAGTGAAATTGCAAACCAGATTTATCTGCAGATTTGAATCTCTCGAAACACTGTTAACTCTTTTTTTGGAGCCTACATCCTCTGCAGCCCTTAGAAATAAACTGTGCAGCTCTGGGACCAACTAGGATGGCAAAATTCCTTTCATTTCCCCTATGCTGTAAAGACAGATCCCTCTCCTACCATTTTCATCAACCAACAAGAGATTTTTGGAACAATCTATTACGTTTTTTGACGACATGACCGTGACACAAGCGTCTCATTTAAAATGTACAGATCTCACAGTGGAACAACATTCTGACCCTATTGCTTTCCTATTGGATGGTGCCTAGAAATCACAGAAAATCCTCACATTTATTCCTAATATCTAAATGTCCCATAGTTTTTTCTATACACACTGAAAGCAAAAGCTGATCTTCACTAACACAAGTCACATCAATCAACAACTAAGTCGACATTAATGAGGCATAATAGAGACTTTTACAAGCTGGGAAACAGGTGAGAGGTCTGGAAGACGTCAACAATAAAACAGAATTACATCACTACTGGCTGGAGTTCAGGGTTTGCTTTATGATCCCTACAGGAAAACAAATAATGGCAGAGAGTGTATATCCCAAGTGGCTTACATCATTAAAAACCAGATCGTTATCAATAAACCACACGGCACAGCAGCGTGAATCTATGAGGTAAAACTGAACCGCTTATTCTAGAAATGTACTGTAGGAGACATGTAGACAGACCATAGGACTGGGGGGAAAGACAAAGACAGAGGAGGAGTGGAATGCAGGAAAAAAAAAACTGGGCTGGAACAATTAATTAGATTTATTGCTATAAATCGATTTTTGAAATTGTCATCAACTAATTTAGTAATTGATTGATCTTTAAATGGGGTATAGATACTCTAAAACATGCAGTAGCAATAATATCAAAATTAAAAGAAAAACATCTGCATTTGAAATAAAAAATAAAATAAAAAAAATCTGCTCTGTCCAAATCTCCTAATGTGGAAAAGATTTAGTCCCCTCTCATCCAAATTCTGTAAAAAAAAAAAAAATCTTCTTAAGGAAATGTTGCCATTAGTTATTGATTAATCATTAGCAAAATGATTGTTAGTAGCAGGGCTAGTTAAAGAGGTCATATCAATCAGGAGGTGCATAAAAAATAAATAAATAAAAACATGATTTAAGTTTAAGCCTCGCTTCATCCAGGCTGATGGAAGTAATGTAGTCAGCATCGTCATCAAAGACCCAAGGCTGGATCCTTTGGCCAATTAAACAGAGACGAAACACCACAGAATATATTAGAGTTTAATTGTTCTTATCTAAACTAAGTCTACGTGTTTAGAGGCAGCTTTCAGAGTTTGGGGGCAGTTTGTTTCTAATTTTGCCTTTATTGTAAATCTCTGACCTGTAAATCCTAACTTCATTAGATTTAGTTTGTTCTTTATAAAATATATTATAGAACAAAATAAAAAAAAAAAAAAAACCTTTTCATACATTTTTGTCATGAGCGGTGAATCATTTATAGTAGAAGCCAGTATCAGGCACCTTACTGTAATGTTTGGCCTTCCAATTATCTACTTAAAGCCTCCCTCTGTCTCTTTGTTTCGGTTTGAGTGACTTGGGAGACATACTTGGACAAGTGGAAAGACAATAGTTTTATCCTCACATCTCTGTGCTGTTTCTCCTTTTGTTTTTTTTGAGAGAAAAAAATGCTTCCTGCTGTTATTACAAGCTGGTAGACCTTATGAAACATTCACTGCCCAGATGAAATTCTATTTTCAAGTTTGTGAAGGCAAAAACAACTTCCATGATCCAGGAGACCATCAGATTGGTGCCTCTCTAATTATGTTTACTGTCAGCAAACTGCTGATGATCCTTCAGATTCTTTGCCAAAAAAGCAAACCAGTCACAGACTAACTTTATGGTTAATAGAGCAAAAAAAGCATCACCAGTTCATTTAATAAATGGAAAACGCTGGACTAATACTCTGGGTACTATACATATATGCAATATATTAAAAAAAAAACATTACTGCTGCATGAAAGCAAGCTTCAGAATCCAGTAATAATCTCCTATCTTCCATATACATCACATTTACCACATCATGCTGCTCCTGTATGTTTTAATAATTCACAAATAATGGTGTAATCTTAATAAACTATTATAAAATTTTGGGAATTTATGAAAGAAAAAAAACTTGCTTGATCTCAAGATTGAATAATAAATTATTTTTATGGTTCAAATAAAAGAAATAGGCCAAATGGGATTATCTTTCTATACCAGGACTATTTTTTCATTAATTAAATGATTGTTCTATATTTCTAATCCACCAAAGCTAAATATGTTAGCCACAAGTTCATACTGTAACATTTCCAAGGTCAGGTTCTAGTTAACAGCTTATCAGAAGCACCAGAGCCGTTAGGCTCCCAAATAATCACTGTTTACACAGTCAACATTCCTTTGAAAGGTCAACTACAGCTATTGTTCAAAGGGAATAAATGGCAAGAGAAGATATCTAGAGATTGATCAACAGCATTAATTAAGACCTAGATTAAGGGAAATTATGTTCCGACTAAGAACTGATGTGTTTGTTGCTGATTCAAACCTACAGCCTCATAGATGGAGATACAAAGCTCTTTAAATCAAACAGTTCCAGCTTTGGGTGGTAGAAAGATACTCACAGCTTCTGCACAGACGGATCAGAGGCGCATCAGCTCAGTATTAAGATGCTGCACCGGCAGCCGTTCATCTCACACCTCCATCCCTAATTGGCTCTCTGACTTATCAGCAGCAGATGAACTTTCACCCTAATTCTGCAGACAGGTTTAAAATGTGACATGAATGTGCTCCTAGTTTGAAAGTATTGTGTTTATCTGATCAACATGAACCAGCAGGTCATGCTGGGCCATGTATCTACATGTAATAAGCTCCTCTGTTAACTAAAACATCCATGTCTGCAGGGAATAACACTTTAAATGAGTCTGCAGGACTTTGAGGTGTGGAGCTTGAGGTCCTCTAGACCACTGAAAGGACATAACAATTTAATACATGCAGCTGGACTGCTTAAAAACTATTTGGCTTAATACACGACAAAAACCTTCCAACACAATTTAAATCAACAGCAATATTCCAAAACACAGCTCTGCCTTGATTGCAACCAGGCTTCCAGCCCAAACTGCACTGTATCAGGCTCTGACCTTCAGAAACACCTCCAATGTTTTTGTTTCGTGCAAAGAAACAGAAACATGTTCATGTCCGCCTCTGGCCTTAGATTGCAGACTTGAAATCTTCTGGTGATGTCAATAAGCAGCAGCACATTATGAAAATGTACAGCTGCTTGTGCTCAATTGTAACAAGTGAGTAATGTTCAGATTTGACCACCCTGCAGTGAATATTCAGATTCAAAACAGCTCTTTTATAATGCTTTATCAGACCTTGAAAGATTCTCCCAAACGTTTTTTGTTTTTTTCCCCTGCCTTAAATTTAACTCTACAATCTAACATTGAAAATATAACATTTGAAATAGAAAAACTAACCCAGCTGCAACAACCTGGATCCCTTTAACTAATGGAGTGGCGGCCTAGTGGTTAGGGCATTGCGATTGCAATCCAGAGGTTCTGAGTTTGGGTCCCACTCACACAGACTGCCACTCTGGGTTCCTGAACAAGACGCTTAACCCCACACTGCTCCCTGGGCGCCGCACAATGGCAGCCTACTGCTCCCAAGCTGTGTACTTGTGACACTGTAATGACAATAAAAGCTGGAAAAAACATAAATAAATAATGCTTAATGACTAAACATCCGTCTTCTTCTGTGGGAGTTATTCAACATCCCAAATCTCATCTCATATTTGCTACCTTGAACAGTGAGGTCTTCGCCTGCGCTTCCTCCTTTTTATGAGACCCTAAAGGTCAGATTTAGTTCTTTGTAGGTCATTGCTAAGCTTTTAAAATCCTCTTATTAATCAAATATTGTTTGAACTTCTCCTTCAAATTAAAGTTGAGCTTTTATTTGGAAGAGTTCATGGCTTTAAACACCGAAAAAATTTTATCTGAAGAAAAATTTGCCAATCTACTTTACAAAGGGTGTAGTGTTCTTTTGTTAATGAGTTTTTATTGTATTGCTTTCTCCTCTAACAGAAACAAATAAAAAGATTATTTTAATTCCCTGAAGTATTTATGATTTAAATCGGATTTTACCCACAAGGTAAGCTTTAAATTTATACATTTAAATAAATACAGCCTAATTGTTACTTATATAAATAAAGGTTCTTCCTTCCCCTTAAGGAATTACTGAGACTTTATTAAAGACCTTTCTTTTAAAATACATTCCTTTGGGATCCATAAAAAAAAATTTAATTATGTGGTATTTTTCTAATACAAATACAAAAAAACTAAACTACACTGATGTGGTTTGTCGTACTGCAGTGCTAAACTATAGAGGTGTCAAAAACAAAAGGAAACCAATTGATTTTCATTTTAATTACTGCACCCGAGCTGTTCAGTTTGCGTTCAGGGTGAGATAACACGGATGTCGGATTGAAATGTTTCTCATCTTAAGGAGAACATGTTTGGGAAGCAGCTCAGAGAGAAATCAGACTCGTGCTCTCAGGCTCAGAAATCTAATATCAGCTGCGTTTCAGACTTTTTATTCTTTAAAAAAAAGAATAAAAGCAGAAAAAAAATCAGCTGAAGACGACAAATTGCTACCGCTAACTTAACGTAAGCAGATAATGTGTCGAAGAATGACGATTTCAAACTTGATCTTATTGAAGTATTTTTGAAAAGAGACGACTGATTAAATCTACAGACATGAAACAAAAACCTCTTTTAAACACAAAATATGAAACTGATCCAACACTTCTGTATGTTTAGAGAGAAACACATTTATTTTGAAAGAAAACGCTTTTGTCAAATCACAACAAAGACACAAGAACAGGCTACTTCTGCTGAAATGTCTGACATTAAAACCACTTCAGGCTCCTGCTTCAGACAGATGTCATGAAGCGCAGGACATCAATTTGTACAAAGGAATGAACCTTTTTTAATTATACTGAAATGAAGAAAATAACAAACCAAATTGAAAACTACATTAATTCTCTGCAAAAAATTATCAAAAAAATAATAAAGTATATTTAGTCCTTATTTGAAATAGCAAAAACCAATGGCCAATTCTTACCTGCATAATTCTAAAAATAAAAAACAAAATCATTTCAAGAAAAATTTACTTCAGTTTTTTTCATAAAACATTTAAAAAAATGTTTCCACAATAAACAAAAAAAAAAAACAGCTTACCGGTAGTTACAATAGGAAATTCAGACAGACCTTGAGAAATGATTTAAGAAGGTAAATAATAGCGATGAGAGAGAATTCCCTGCTTTCATGTCCGTTTTTTGTTGATAAATAATGCAGTTTGTTCTCGCTATGCAGCTCGTTAGCTCATGATGCAGTAATTGCTGAACAGATGAGAATGTTTTGTACGTTTTAGCAAAGCCTCTTTCATCTAACAGAAACTTTATTTCTAACAAACTGATTCAAGCTGGTTTGTTTGGTCTGAACTAAAAATGAAACCATGAACCAAAATTAACCAAAACCAAACATGTATAAGCACTTAATTCCAGTTAGACTCATGGTAGATTGTTTTAATTTTTTATGTTTTAGAGGTGTTAAAATTTTTATTATTTTTTTTTGCTTAAAACTGTAAAAATAAAAAAAATAAAACCTGCTACAAAAGGTCTTAGTAAATTTAATGTAATGTAAATTCCTTTATTTTTCCACACTGGGGAAATTCATTCTCTGCATTTAACCCATTCCATCGGGGAGCACTGGGCTGCCATTGTGTGGCGCCCGGGGAGCGGTGTGGGGTTAAGGCTTTTGCTCAGGGAACCAGAGTGCAGTTTGTGGGGATGAACAGAGTACTTGCAACCTTCCCAGAGCACAAGCGCACTGCTTTAACCACTAGCCAACACTACCCAAAGTTGAGTATTGAGGGTTTACTCCTGTCAGACTTTGTGTTTAACGGTCAAAAACAGAGCGACTAAAAAAAAAACATAACTGCTCTGTTTACAACATCCAGATCAGCACAAAACACAACCTTCCTGTTGCTCACCACAAGAATGAAAGGTATGTCCCCGACTCAGAGATGTAGGAAACCATCCCACAAACATCTGTCCGACTCCGCTCTCTGGACGACCATCCGGTGGACCGTCACCAGGACGCAAACCCACTGGGACCTCTCTCTGAGGGAGTGCTGACAGAACGCCAGAAGCGGCTCTATCTGTCATCGTGAAAGTGAGTAAAAACAAGAACAGAAAACTGGAATCCCAGTGGAATGAAGAAGAGAAGAGCTCATTTATCAGGAGCACAGAGGGTGCTCTGCTGGAGCCCATGCTCGGGGCAAAGATCCACTTAAACCTTCAAGTGACCTGAACTTGTGATGCTAAAAACCAATGAACATTTTGCTTTAAGCAAAGCGCTTAACAGGCAAGCCCAGAAACTTCAGAGAAAAGGAGAGCTTGCCTCTCTTTATCTAATCAAACATTAAATAACTAAATGACTTGGTTGTTGTGCCATTTAGTAAAGTTATGCAAACGAACCATCCAGAAACTGAAATCAATCAATTCTCTCTTTATCAGCGATTGACTGATCCATATAAAAAGATTTTTTTATTACCTCAAATAAAACTATTTAACACTGTATAAGCAAACAATAAACACTTCATTTTTGTGATTTTCATTGGAAATTTTAGTTTATAGGAAAACTATGGAGCTATTTTATAAAAGAAGCTACGGCAAGAAAAAATAAATAAATAAACAGTCTGAAAAGTCCGTCTGCCACTATGAGGACGGCAGCTACTGACCACCAGATAAGTTAACTCTGCTTCTAGGAGGGGTGAACAGGGCTGCTGAGAGCCCAGTGCCCTGGCTGGTCATTTAGGTTTTTATTTTACCATCAATAACTTATCAGATCACGATATGACAATCGCAGAAAACTGCAACATTAAGTTAAGTGTCTGACAATTGCATAATTGCCCATCAATAATAGATTTGGGCCATTTGCTGGAGTCTAATTGTTTTGACCTGCTTCCTCTGATGTTCGTCTTTAGCTGCTGAGATGTTGAAGCTGAAGAGTTTGTAACATAAACAGGAAGAAAGGAAACTGGTAATAACAAAAGCAGTTTTCAGCAAAAGTATCAGCATTAGATATGTGGAAACATACATTCAGCTCCAATGGTAACTATTAAAATCAGCAATTGCAGATTTCTGGCTGACCACCAAAAAAAAAATAAAAAACATCTGAAAATTATTTAATAAGAAATAAAACATTTGAACAGAAATACCCGTGACACGATATAAACTTGATTGGATCTAAAAATGAGGTAGTCTCCTATATAAATAAAAAGTTTACAGCATTAACAGCAGCTGCTTTTCAGACCTTTAAGGCATCTTAGGTATCAGACAGTCACACCGCCTAAAATTAAGAAAACTGGACCCAAATTTCAGCTCTAAGAATAATAAAGTTTTCTTGAAAGATTACATAACCCATTGGTTAATAACAAATGGGTGAGCTTTAATTCCTACCTGTTTTTGTTGACAGTTATTTCCTGTTTGAATGATATCCATTGATCAAGCCTTTTCTAACATTTTATTCAACAGAGCTATAAAATATTCATAATTTATGCTGATATCGCAGATAGTACATTGAGTAAAAAATGTAATTACCATATTAAAACTTTGTCAGCAGGTCAGACAAAGATAATCAGTATCAGCCAGAAACAAAATTTGAATAAAAGCCAAATTGGTGCATATGCAACATTATTGCTCCTGCTTCTATTAAATCAGTGTGACTTCAAAACTAAGGTAAGAACTATGGCTGAAACAATTAATCGGATTAATCGTGATTAATCAATTATTGAAACAATCATCAACTAATTTAGTACTCGAATAATCATTAACTGGAGTATAGAGACTGTAAAATATGCCTTTAGCTGACAGAGCAACCCACTTAGAGCAGTAATTATGTCAAAATTGAAAAAAAAAGTAAACATTTAGCATTTAAGATAAAAAAAAAAAAACTTTTTAGTCCATAAACATGCTCTATCCAGAACTCCTAAAATGGAAAAGTTTTAGTTTCACCTGGTTTGATTTTGCAAAAAAAAAAAATATATAAAAAATCTGTAAGAAACCTTTGGCTATCTGATTATTAATCGATTAATCTGAGAAATAACCGACGGATTAATCGATTTGCTAAATAATCCTTAATTGCAGCCCTAGCTCAGATAAATCAATAATAAACACTTGGTCACAATGTTCCTGAGTGGGAGACACTATCATATTTTACTGATCACCAATAACTACTCCAGGTCAGCTAATTTACAAACCCTCTGAAGGTAACCCAAAGGGGCTTGGCAAGATGAAACAAACAAAAAAAATGAAAAATAGGAGCATTTCTCAACACATAAAAAAATAAATCTAACGATAATGCCTTACAGTGACGGACTGCTGCACCCTAAATGAACCAGGGAGCGTTATCACAGATCCTTCCTCCCAGCAGCTGTTAGACTCTATAACAGGGGTGTCAAACTGGTTCCAGAAAGGGCCGTGTGGCTGCAGGTTTTCTTTCCAACCAAGCAATAGCACACCAGACTCCCTCATCTCATCAAGTCATCATGTTAAGATTAGACTCACTTGATGAGATGAATGGAGTCTGGTGTGCTATTGCTTGGTTGGAAAGAAAACCTGCAGCCACACGGCCCTTTCTGGAACCAGTTTGACCCCTGCTCTATAACCACCACTATTCCCAACAACCTCAGTAAGTTTTTACATTTATGCTGATTTTTGGCAGTTTCTACCTTAGTCAGTTAAATAACATGCTGCTGTCATTTCGCTCTCATCTCAGACATTGCTGCCATTTTCAAATATCCATTACTGTAAAACTGTCCACAGCTGTATATTGCTTATTTATTCTCCAGGTGCACATTAGTTATATTGTTAAAACAATTTACAGTACAGTATTGCATTTTTATTTGTTTACCTTTTAACTCTTCACTATTCTGCTACTCTAATACACTCTTCTAAGGTCCACATTTGTGTGACAATGTTTTCTATTATATTTTTAGATGCTGTAAACACCAGATTTTCCCCATTGTGGGACAATAAATGAATTTTCTATTGCATTATCTATTCTAAAATCAGAATGACAACAATAAAAGCTTGAAAATGATCATCCAGTTTATCAGCAGCATTTTGCAGCTAACCTCTCTCCCATCTAACCAGGTACCACTCCCCATTAAAGACCCCTGCTGGGGCTAAACTAACCCCAGCCTCGCTCAGCCCTGTTAGTAAACACCCACCAGTTGGAGTTCGGTGCTAGCTTACCTGCTGTACCCGAACCGAACCTCTCGGTATGTCTCTACAAACTTATGACAGCAGCAGCTAACGTTGTAGCGGTACCAGTTTGAAATGGGATGGTAAAAACTTCAGTCCTGACATCCATGAAGGAGGGAAAACAACAAAAAAAGAAACACTCTGACAGCAGCAGCTAACGGTTAAATAAAATCTCCCAAAGACCCCCTCAGCTGTATAAAGTAGAACTTGGGAACACTGGCGACACTTTGTGGCTGAGACACTTTGCGACGAGAAAGAAAACAGAAACCCCGGGCTAACTTTTCCTTACCCCCGCAGAGAGTCTCCTCGTCGACACCGCTCCCACTTCTGGGAAATAATAACTCCAGCTCCAGAAGAGCCTTTTTTTTTGGCTTAAACTGGACTGACTCGAAAAGTAACAGAGAAAAAGAGCAGAGACTGAGTTGCTGACCTGCTGTTAGAGCCTTTCGGACACCGCTGCTCTGCTCTGCGTGGCTCCTCCAACAGCCGCTGCAGTTTTTTTTTTCCCTCAACGAGTTTATGCGGGAGCGCGCGCGACGGAGAGATTGGGCTGGCCAGGGGAGGCGGGCACGCGCAGTCCTGAGGCGACTGTAAAGTGGGAAGACGAACACGTTCACAACCTTACGAAGATGTGCTTTACTTTTGATTAAGCTGCGCTTTTAACAGCAGCGGCATATAGGCTGCATACCACACAGACACGTTACCATATGATAGGACCTTCACCCAGGGCGCCATATATATGGGTTACCATAAGATAGGACCTTCACCCAGGGCGTCATATATAGGTGTTACCATAAGTTAGGGCATTCACCCAGGGCGTCATATATAGGTGTTACCATAAGATAGGGCATTCACCCAGGGCGTCATATATAGGTGTTACCATAAGATAGGGCATTCACCCAGGGCGCCATTTATATGGGTTACCATATGATTGGGCATTCACCCAGGGCGCCATATATATATGGGTTACTGGGCGTCATATATAGGGGTTACCATATGATAGGGCCTTCACCCAGGGCACCATTTATATGGGTTACCATATGATAGGGCCTTCACCCAGGGCGCCATATATATGGGATACCATAAGATACTATAAAATACCATAAATAGTGAAAAAGAATATATATATATATATATATATATATATATATATATATATATATATATATATATATATATATGCCTTTCTTTTTAACATGATTATTTTTACAGGGTGTTAATACAGATGGGTATCTGTATACATAATTATTGCACTGGATATTAAATATAAAGAAACAAGTTATTGTGCAGGGTATTAACTGCACATTATACATATAATGTATAAACATCATGGTGAAATGTATATGTTTGTTACCTTGCAGCAATAAGATCCACATGTTTCTGCATGGAGTTTATATGTTCTCCCAGTGCATGCATTGCTTCACTTCAGGTTGTCAGATTGCTTGTTTAGTAGGTAATTCCATATTGCCCTTCGGTGTGCATTGCCGTATTTGTTTTCCTGTTATAGACTGATCCATCCAGGGTGTTTCCTGTGTTTCTTGCTCACAGACTGCAGGAGATGAGCACCAGCCTCCTGCGATCCTGGCGGATAAGTTGCAAAAGATGGACGGAAACTGAATGCCAAAATTTGATGAAAAATAGCTGTTTTTCTCTAAACCATTTAGTTTTTTTGTTATTTGAAATAAACAGGAAATCTACCAAAAAGGTTTAACTATTATTTTTCAACATAATCCTAATTTTTAACATAGGTGAAATCTTATTAACTGTTCTTATAAATAAAAGAAGAAGTTTTGGACCTGAAATCAAACCCATCGCATAAGGTAATAAACAAGGCCAGTTTAAGACAGAGTTTGCTTATCTCGAGATAGATTAATTTTAATTTGATATTTGTGGTACAAGTACCTATTACTGTATATTTCCGTAGATTCATTTAAATTGTTTGTGGTATTTACACAACACCCTCAAACATTTCCTAGAGTTACATTTGTCAACAGAAAGTTACAGAGGCCCACTTCAAAGTAAAACTTTATGTAATGCTGTCTAATTTATTCAAACTGCTGTTTGTTTGGAGGGGAAAACACTGAATCAGCAGGGAGTAAACATATGCACAGAGTACAAAGCCACAGCGAGAGTGTGTCTGTAATGCTTATTAGAGAGCGTTGAGTGCAGCTTTACTGACATAATGTATCTGTAAGGGATAATGACCACTGGAAAAAGGAAATCACTTCCTTCAGCTGCCCTGAGGTTCTGCAGAACATGCTGTGATCAGAATTAATTAGAAACACACAAAAAAGTCTCACAACTCTTGAAGTAGATTTTTTTTTTTGGAACCCAGCTTCTTTTAAGTCTTATAAATAGATAAAAAAGTTATTCTTTGATGTGAAAGACTTCAAAATGTGACATGAGAAAGAAGTTTGTATTAAAAGTTGTATCTTTTACTGACGAAGGTTCTGGTTTGTGATCGGTATTTTAAAGCTGCGCTCCAAGAAAGCCTTCTGTGACAGAAAGAGATGAGGATGAGGAGGAGCTGAAGCAGAAAATGACACGTGGGGAATGAGTCGAGTTTTTCTGTTAACATTCCAGGCATTGTTTCCCCCTCCTTGCTGCCAAGCAGCGAGGCCAAGGACTTTCCAGCGGTGGGGGAGTGATTAGATGAGCAAAACGAAGGATGACTATCATTTTCCCTTTTTTTAGTTTAGTTCATCTTCAGCCGAAACATAAAGTAATAGATGGGTGTGTTTGTATTTAGCTCCATGCTAAAGATTGATATGTATTGCAGGATTTTTTTTGTTCTTTTTTCAAATCTGGAAAGCTTGTCTGTCATTGGTAATCACCCACGATGTGGAGGAGCTGCAGATATCAATACCTTAGGTGGTGGTGGTGGGTGGGGGGTGCTGCTGTTTAAGAACATCTATTAATCCTAATCCCCTTAAACTTTGGTTTTTTATTGTTATTAGAAATAAAAAGCATATTTTAAGAAGAAAAGACTGAACAACACCATTTGCAGTTTGCTGTTAGCATATTTCAGTAACCCCCCCTCCAAACGAAAGATCTAAACGATGAGAACAATATAAGTTAGATATAAAGCAAATAAAAAACAAACAAAAAAGAAATGTCAGACATGTGCTTTTCATAGCCTAAAGTCAACTATCATTCAGGAAAAAAAATGATATAAAGAACTCTGTGGAAAGTAGAAATTGTCTGTTATTTCCTTTGCCTCCAGCAAGAGAAAACTGTTTTGTTTTTTGTTTTTTTTATAAGATGGGTTGCACAGAGCAGTTAGTAACAGTTTCTGCATGAAGTTTGCATGTTCTCCCTGTGCATGCATTGGTTCTCTCTGAGTACTCCGACTTCCTCCCACAGTTGAAAACCATGACTGTCGATTAATTGGCTACCTTAAGTGTGTGTGAATGGTTTTGTGTCTCTGTGTTGCTCTACGACAGACTGGCAACCTGTCCAGTGTGTACTCCGCCTCTCACTCATTGACAGCTGGAGACAGGCACCGCCCTCACTGCGACCCTGACAAGGAATGGGAGAAAATGGATTAATGGGTGGAAAAAGTATATGGCTGCAACTGAAAACACAAGAAGAATGCAAACCAGTGAAATCTGCTACTTTTTATTTCATAGTGATTATTTTTTGGTTATTATGATGCTCTGAACATCTTAAAATGCAGATGATGAAAACATTTTCATTGAAAATTGAGATACAGCAAAACATGTGAAAAAAGTTCAGTCACTTGATAGACACTATGTGAGGTGAAAAATGAACTGAGCAGCACATACTGAATGTATCATCCCCAGGGTAACACATGGCGATGTTAGCATCATGCTAGGGGAAGTAAGCAAGTAAGAGTTAAAAGAATTGATAGAGGAAAATCCAAACTAATCGTGGAACAAAAACAGTTTGAGGCTACAAAAATAAATAAATATCCTTTGCAAACAGAAGAAATAAATAGAAATGTTATACATTTATAGACGATGAAAACTGCAGCTATGATTACACCTCAAAAGGTCTACTGTATACAAAGTGTTGGATTTATGATACTACCTTTGTTGTCACAATTATGTGCTTATTTGTGTTGGTCAACTACATAACATTAAATGACATTGCAGTTTGTGGCTTTGAGGTGACAAACTGTTAAAAAGGTCAAAGGTTATGAACTGTGAATCTGACAGCTGTAAACATATAGGAGTTAGTCTCTAAACTAACGCTTTGAATTTAAGACCAGAGCATTCTCTCTGACAGTCTACACTGTTCTATCGCTTCCTACAAATGTGTCCACTGGACTGGGCCCAACTCCCTAACAAAAGGTAGCTCAGTTTGAGCATAGCGGCCCCTGGTATAGCGGGAAGAGAAACTATTCAGGACACTGATACCTCTGATTGCCAGTTCAGCACATGACGCACTGACTCATCCTTTCTCGTCTGAGTCACTCCCTCCCTCCTCTGGTCCAGGATACGTGTGACTCTCTGCTGGAGCTACCTCCTCTGTCCTCATGTCCACCCTGTTGCGCTCCATGAGCAGGAGGGCAGCCAGCGATGCAGACGGGCCCCTGCGGAGGAGCTGCAGAAGGTGTTTGTGTTCTAATGAGTGTCTGTTTTGTGGAGACAAAAGACGGTGGTGTGCTGCATTTGGTGGCCAGAAAAAAATGGGCCAGAGGAGCAGAGGAGCTTAAACCCAGCTTTACATGAGTTTTACAACAGTAAAGACACACAAAAAGTGATTTTAACGGTTTTAGTAGAAAAGTACCCCCATTTCAGCCTTCAGATACTGATTTCCTTACTCTGTAGAAATATTTAATCAGAATAAAAAAGTGAAATAATTCAAACAAGCATAAAAAATTCCAGCTTTTGGAATTTTCCAAACAGAATAATAGATTTGATGACTCTCAAACTATGTTTATATTCTTTTTTTTAATTTTCCAATTAAGGTCTGGTAATTCAAGCATCCTTCAAAGAGCAGTTTTTATCCTCATTCTTAAGAAATTATGTTTGTGTAAATCCAAAAAAGTAAAAAAAAACAAAAAAACAAAAAACAAACCACTGAACTTAAGTTTTCCAAGTTTGAAGACATTTTTCTTTCCATCCAGGAAGCTTGTCAATTCAAAATGTATTAGCCTTCAGTTCCAGGCTTCATACCGTAGCCCAACAAAGCTTTGTTATGGCTTAGAAAACATGAAAATTGAACTGAAGAATAGGTCCACCCCTTAATAATAGGGAGTTGTTGAGGTCATTGTTGGCCTGTAATACCAAATACTGGCCTATGCCTCTGAAAAGGGAGTTGTTAGGGTCATTGTTGGTCTGGCTGACCAGGCGAGATGTTTTGGTCCCCTGCATGACGATGGGGGTTAAGATGATGTTGCAAGGAATCAACTCTATTGCTGCTTTCAAGGTTATCGAGACCTGAAACCTGAGTCCAACCAATCTGTTTAGGGTTGTTTTGTTCTCTCTTAACATAAAAGGCTTCCTTCACACCCCTTTCAAACAACCTGTCTTCTTAGTCCAAATTGTGAACATTCTGGTCCTCAAATGAGTGTCCTTTGTCCTTATGTGTAGATGGACAGCAGAGACAGACCTACACCAACTAAAACTAGACATTGTTTTTTGCCTAAAGATAAAATAAAGGAACAACCAAAAATAATTATTGTGTTATTATTGTCATTCTGTTGTGGAAATCCTATGCAAATACAGCATGAAAAGAAACCAGCAACAACATGGTACCTCTTAACTGGAATAGACATCCTTTTTGTATATTTTTCAGTTTTTTAAAAAAAGGGCTTCTGCCGCCCTACAGACTCACAGCGCCCTGAGCGGTGAGCCTCCTTATAAAAGAAATCCATCGCTGATAAGGAGGAACATCAAGAGGAACTGTTGTGTCTCCTCACCAGCTATTCTTTCCTGCATGAAAAGCATATTTACTAATCGCCACCTGGAAAAGAGAGCACAGCTCAACCATGAGGCACAAGCCCAGATTTAACCGTTTTTCATGGTGTTTTCACAGCTTTTGAGCAACATCAAAGCAAAAACAAACAAAACGAAAAAAAAAAAAAAACCCACTCCAGTTAAGCTCATTATACAAATGAGCTCTGAGACCCGCTGCACACAGCCAGCAGAACACACGTGAATGATGACACCGTCAATGAAAAGGTAAACAAGTTAAACAAGCTGAGGCAGATTCTCATGGGATGCTCTTTACTTCCCAAATTTCATCCAGCCTATACACAAAGTTCTGCATTTTTTTTTTATTCCCAAGCATTGCTCCAGGGAGGACATTAGACAGGCATGAACTTTGCAGAGATTTTTTACAGTTCTAAGAAGATTGGCCATGGATAGATGAGGCTGCGTATCTCATCAGGGATCTCATAACGGAGCAGGACGACATTCCCAGACAGGGGGATGAACATTTGAAGCTATAAATGGAAGAGTGGGTATTTATGCATCTATGATGAACTTTACTTTGTTGACCACTGATGTTTCCTGCTGTTAGGGGAATGGTTTGATTTTTTTAAAAAGGATATTCATTATTTAATTTATTTAAAGCTTTTCCCTCCCTCAGCCAAAGCAAGAGTCTGGTTTTACATCTACAGCCGGCAGCAGATCCATAATTATATCTCACTTTTATTGTTAGATAAGATTTTAAGCTATGTTTTGCTGTTTACTGCAAATGGATGCAGCGCCTGCTAAAGTATTCACACCGTGAACTGTTTCGACATTTAAGTCACATCATCACCATGCAAAACAATCCGATTGGATTGAGCTTTTTGGTCTCCCCACAGATTCTCTAGTAGTTTTAGGTCTAGACTTTGACTAGGCCATTCAACCTGATTAATATGTTTTTCATCTAAAGTTTTATTGTACCTGTTGTGTATTTAGGCTTGTTGTCCTGCTGGAAGGTGCATCTCTTTCCCAATCTTTAACCCTATTCTTCTTTAATACTTTTAGTTTGGAGTTGTATTAGAAGACAGGGCAAACCGACTTGAGATCCTTTTTTAAAATACTGGAATATCCAATCATTTAGGAGGAACCAATGTTAGTATTAAACAGATGAGTTGGTTTCTCTCCATTTATTGTGTTCTTACACTAAAGAACTGTGCTCCAAAGTAAATATTCTCCTACACCATGTGTCTGCTAGCTAATGAGCTATTCAATTTGGTTTATTTAGCTAAATCAGTGATAAACAGTAATATTGGACATTGAGCTTGAGGTTGGCTCTAATTTTAGGACGTTGTTTCTCCCACAGGGATCTTAAAAATTTTAATTCCCAGAAGACAGAATAAACCAAACCTCCTTATCCATCCTGCCATCAGCTTTCTTCCTGCCACTCCACAAAGCTTGTGGGATGCTCCATCAAAACCTTTACCTGAGCTGTGGACCGCACCAACTCCTCCAGTTACTGAGCTTCCTGGTTACCTCCCTGATTAATTGTTAGCACCTCTGCCTATTAGTTTGGTTATATCAGTTTAAAATGATTAATTAAATATTGTTTTTTAATACTAAGATTTTAATATCGATAATATAAGCTAACTATGCTTTTAACATATTTTATCTTCATCCCTGACCTTTTTGATTTACTCTGCATGATACTGTTTGTGCACTTATGTTGTATAAAAAAACCTTGACTGTCGCCATATTTGTGAAAACAATAAATGGCACATAGGTAAAACCTTCTCATTTGATCCCTGGTTTGAATTTAGGGGCCTCGATATAAGGGCCGAATATAAAATGCAAAATATTTCAGAAATTCCTTCATAAAACAATGAGTTATTGAGTATTATTAGTTAATACGGTCAGCTTATCAACCCTACTTTGTCTGAACCGTGCTACTTTAATTAGACTGACGCCATACCTGCTGAGTTGAACTGGTGCTAGGTCGATGAAACGCCCAGTTTCAGGTCAGACTATGCTGTCAGTCCCATGCAGAGAAAATAGGAAATGTGCAATTTAAAATCTATATTAACATTATCAAAGCTCTTATTAGCTGTAAAATATTAATGCACAATAAGCAGACAGCACTTTTCAGCTCTGAGTGAACCAAAATGCATCCATTAATTGATAATGTTTTCTGTTTTTTCATTAACTTCAATGTTAAAGCCGTTTTTCACAGATCGAGGTCCAGCTTCTGAATTACAGCAAAGCTGGTTAATCGGCTAAATAAGCTGAAAGTAAATAAGATTAGGTGAAAAATAAACAGGTCGATTAACTAATGGCTGATTAGCCACAGAAGATTTATGGATATAGAAAAAAGAATATAAACGTATGATACGTTCTGAAACTCTCAAAAATGTACATTTTCAGATGGAAAGTCTGCTTTGGAAAACTTTAAAACATCTTTCTTAGCCTTAAAAACCGACTCAAAGCAGCAGTACCCAATGATGTTAATCAGATTTAAAACTGAACCTACATAAAAAATATAGGTTGTCATACTATTTAAAATAGTAAATAATCCTACAATGCTCATGCAGACATCAGATCAAATTGTTACTTTCTAAAGTTGTAACCTGAAGCAATAACACACTACATAATGGTTGAAGAAACAGTTACTGTTTCTCTGCATCATTAAGGCTGAAATGCTGTTTCCATATAAAAGAAAAATTAGTTTCTTATTATTTTTTTAATTCTAATCTAAAATGTACATGAATGATTATAGTTAACCTAATTACTTACATAAATCCATATTCAATAGCTTTAATAACTTAAGGAAAACTGTTTGCAGCGTACGATTTGAGTGCTTTTTCCTTTAGGTTCCCAAACTTAACGACCTCTGGAGAAAACTGCACAGCAGCTCTGTGACATGCCTCTGCATCATGGAGCTGATGGTTCTCTCACAGTTAAAGATAAGATTTCTCAGATAAGACAGAAAAAAAGAAAAAAATAAGCGAAAGAAAAAGAATAAAGCTCCCACAAAATATACAAACCAAATAAAGAGAACAATGTCAGTTAAATACGAAACAAATCAAAAACTAGAAAAAAAAGACATTTCCTCAGACTGCTTTTGTGCTGTTTCTAAAGGAAACTTTCAATCAGGAAAAGAACATAATATAAAGAACTGTAATGCTTGAGCTAAATGTCTAAATTATCTTAGGTAAAAAAAAAAACAACAAAAAAAAACCTGTGGAATATGTTATTTCCTTGCCTCCAGCAACAGAAAACTTCCTGAGTTAAGTTTAGGGTTTTATTGAATTTATGTCCCCAAACACACACATATATATATATATATATATATATATATATATATATATATATATATATATGGCTGCTACTGAGAAACCTAGCCCAATGCTAACTTGTGTATCTGCTACTTAATATTTGTTTCTTAATTAATGTGAGGCTCTCTAAACAATTTTAAAATGCAGACAATGAAAACATTTTTATTGAAAATACAAAGAATTTCCACAACTGGAAAACAAACAATGGCACAAGTTGTCCTTTTTTTTTTTCTTTTTCAACAGATTATAAGTGTTTAACAGACATGTCAACAATATTTCTTGGTTACGATTTAACACAAACACAGCATGTATGACGGCGATAACGGGTCTGTTGTGGAATGAACGTTGAAGATGGAACAGGGGAAACTTTCATATCCAGCTTAAAAGATCGCTACAGAAAGGTGTAAACCGTTAGAAACAATAAATAAATAAAAGAACAAAGGTCACATTCACCGATATGATCAGAGTTCTGGACATTTTTAACCCAACCAGGGCGATGAGTTGGAGAAAAGAGCTGAAAACAGGAAGCTGTGCAGAAAATCCCGATTCATCAAACCGGATGAGCTTGATCCAAATTATCTGTTAAAAAGTAATAAAAAAGAATTCAAAAAAAGACAAAGTGGAATCCTTTTTATACCAACTCTGGAGATGAAACCGTTCCTACCTGTCCAGACGGCTCACCACATCCCTCACTGTGCTGATGAGGCTCTCGTGCTCCTGGGGGTTACTGACGATGATGCTGTGGAGCTTCTTCATGTAGGAGTCAATGCTGTCAAGGGTGGGGGTTTCTCCGCTGCCTAGAGGCAAAAAGCATGGACCCTCAGTGTTTCTTACAGTTCTTCATCCGCCTCCATTTTCTAACTTAAATCACAAACCGAGCCCCCCCCCCCACTGAACCTTTTTACGACGTTTTAAAATACCTCTTTTTATATGTTACTGAGTTTGTAAACAGAAAATAGATAAAAGATTGATAAACACTTCAAATCAAAATCTAGAAAGCGTGGAAAGTATTTATACTATGTAAAACCAGATTTGTCCGCAAGTCTTTCTAGGTGTTTGTCAGTTTTTTCCCATCTAGAAACAGAATTTTTTTTCCATTTATCATTTCAAAATAAGTACAACTCTGCTTCAATTTAAAGCTTCTAATATTAACACAAAAGAAGTTTAGCTTTGCCTGCTGAGCTATAAAAAATTATAAAAAGTTGATGTGTAAACCATTGCGGATCCAAACAGCGAAGGGTTTGGCATGCTGGCCTTATAAGAAAGGTGAATAATTTCCCTCGTTCTCACATTGTTGTTTTTTATTTTTTAGTTTGCCATCAGCTCTCTATAAACACCTGATGCAAACCAGTCCATTCTAGATCTGGTTCATGTTTAGGTTCCTTGTCTTTGAACCCTCACACAGTCTTCCCTCCAGGACTAGATCCTCACAGCATGATGCTGCCACAACCAGGCTCCATAGAGGGCATTATGGAGGCCAGTAAACCCAGAGACCCTCCTTTAGTCTTTCTGAAAGCAGAGGATCCAGCTTCATTCTGTCTCCTGTGATGGCTCTCAGAAAATCTTTAGTTTGATCTTTTGTTCTCTTAATTATTGTGCTTTCAGGACTTCAAATCAACCAGTGTGTCTGTTTTGAAAGGAGAACATTAGGAATAAACTCTTCAGATTTATAGAGCTTTCTTTAGGAAGAAGCCAAACATTAAAGTAAAACACCTGAGTCATAAACCTGTAATTATAAACTGCTGTAAATGTATTTAACCTATTAAAAGGCCACTATCAGAGTGGAGAGCAAAAGTGAAACCTGTTTTCTTTGGAAGGTCAGAAGCTTGCAGGTTTTGCTTGACCTACTTTAATTGAACAGCTCTTCGACACAGAGTCTAACATTCCTGTTCTGTAATCATCTTTCATTATGGAGCTCTGATGCAATAATTACATCTATTTCTGGTGTTTGCTGAGTTTGCTGCGCTGTTTCTGTGGGAGAAGTCTAAAAATGTGTGGAGAAAAAGATATTAACATGAAAAAAGTGAAATAAATGCAGAGTTAGTCTGGACCCTGTCTGTTTAGAATATCACCAACACAGATCCCATTATACATGATAAGAGGATGAGTCCAGGATATTAGGCGATCTAGTGCTTTGCCAAACAGTTTCTGTTCCTTTTTTTACCATTTTGCAATGTTAGAATCAAACTCTTCTTGTTGGGTTCAGAGAAACAAACCAACACAATGAAAATAGAAATCAACTTTTACCCATTTCCACTGAAATGGGTGAGTGCAGAAAAAAGCTGCATTTCTTTAGACTTTGCAGCATTGTGTCTCTCAGCCTCCATGTTTAGGAATGTTCACCTGCTGGAAGGTGAACCTCTGCTTCAGCTTCTAACAGCTTTTTGTTTTTTATACTCTGATCCATGGTTCCATGGATGACATTTCCTGTCTCTACAGACAGGAAACATGGTCAGCCTGATACAGCCATCATGTTCTATTTTCAGGTCACTTGCTTCAGTGTGACGTGCGGCGCTACGCTTCTGAGGGGCAAAGTTTTTCTGGCATTGAGACTCTTTTCCAAGTAGTTCTGAATCCCCTTCATGGATTTAGGATAACTTCACTCAATTTCTTATTAATCTATTTGAAAAACGTCTGACTTCCTGTTTAATAACATCCTGCTAACTGAAATTCCTCCTTTGACTTTGACATCTCTGCACTACAAAAACAATCTAGAAATAAGTATTCGCCATTCACCTTATTTGCCAATGGAATGATGATTTTTACTCTTAAAATAAGGTCATTAAATAATATACACATTAAATAAGACAATGAAATAGTTTTCTTCTTATTTTAAATGTAAATTGTCTTGTTCCATTGGAAAAGTGTCTCAGTTACCTCCTCAATTCCAGAAAAAATGCACTTATTTTAAGAAAAATTGACTTATCTAGATTTCTTTCCAGTGTAGTGTGTTTTTTGGGGTTCATCATGTCATTTGTTGCCTTTTGTTTATTAACAAACCCCTGAGGCCTTCTCTGAGAGACTGCTTCCACAATAAATGACACACAGGGAGACTTTCGGAAGTAAATTAGTCCCCTATGAGTTCCATGAAGCAGAAAACGCAGACAGAATCGCAGAATTTAGCAAATAACATAGAATGTGTTAAAAAAAAACAAGGAATTCACTCTTTTGGGAAAGAACTAAGGTCTTTTGTCCTCTGCCTGTTCGCATATATAGTTAAGCAGGGCAGGGTTTTGTTTCTAAAACGACAAAAAAAAAATAGGTCAGCCATGTCAAAGAGTCACGCAGAAACACCAAAGTCATCCAGAAAGTTAAAAAATGTTAAACTTAACACCAATTGTTATGTTATGTCTAGTGTTATGAATCTGGAGGGCAACTTTTCTGCAATTCTTTTCATCACACGGTCGATTGGAAGATTAAGTTCAACTGTGGCACCCACGCCACATGCGTGAGCCGCATACGGCTGCAGATTCAAATACGTCAGTGGAAGCGAGGCGTGAGTTTATTGAAGATTTTGTTGACATATATGAATCAGACATTCCTTTAGAAAAAATGTGAAAGATTCATCCATTTTTGATAAAGCACTGCAAGCAAGGGGGTGTGCTACAAGGAGACGTTTGCAGCATCCATTAAAACCACCTTACCCGGGTGTTTGATCAGAAAATGGAGGCTGTCCAGAAGAAATTGCAAGGAAAAAATAATATGGTGTGGTCGACGAAACAACCGATGCTCGAGATTACAGCGTTCTGAACATTGCTGGTAAATAATTTTAGCACACCACAATGAAAGAAGTTATTTAAGATATTGTTTTTGAATGTGAATGTCTTAGCATGTCTTATACTATTTCAATATATTTGTTAGTAATGTTAAAAATAATGTTAAAAAGGGAAAAAGTGGAATTTGGGGAAAAAACTAAACGGAACTTGTGGAAAAAACTAAATGGATTTCATGGGACCCTTATAAATGATTCTGATAAAATACACAGACAAAATGAGAAAAGGTCATAAACTCTCTGCAGGGTGCTTAAAGTCTCACCTGGCAGAGGAACCGATGAGAAGCTGGAGGTGAGCGCCTGGCGCAGAGTCTCCAGGTGCTGATGCAGGAGCCCGTTGCGTTCTCTCTCTTGCATCACGTCGCCCTCCAGCCGCTCCACCGCCCCTCGCATGCTCTCCACGTGCTTCTGCAAGGCTGCGTTGCGCTCCTCGTACTCCATGTTGGTCTTGCGCAGCTGGCGCATCTCAGCTTCTCGTGCTAAAGGGGAAAAACGGCGTTCAAACAAACAGAGAGGTTGGCGTTCTGCTCTCTTATTCTGATCAGAGAGTCTCATGAGGTTCAGCCTTCTCACCTTTGCTGTGGTTGAGAAACTCTTCTGTGAAGATTGGTATGTCAAACACAGTCCTGTCCTTTCCCTCTGCGTCTTTCTGTTTGCAGGCAGAGACATGGGAAAAGGGGGGGATTAGCCAAACGCTGTAACAGACTGTCATTTATCTTACTAGGTCCTGTGTGGGCTGGTAATTGATTTTATATCTGGCCAAGAGACATATACAGAAATCCAGTTTCATGAAATGCGGGGATGGAAGTAATTTCATCATTGGTGCATCTCAGATATGGAAGCTTGGCAATAAATCTGCACTAAAAACAGCCGTCGAAATAGAGACACATGACACAATGGAGCTCTGACTGCAGCAAAGCTCCATCGTTCTTCATTTCCCAACATAATGACATCCATGCTGAATCCCCAGCTTCTGCTAATCTAAGGGGAAGGAGAGCGGCGCCTTTTTCCCACAGCAGCGCTCCTTCCAGTTAAGTCACCTTGGCTGCAACCCTCCACCAGGTTCTGAGAGAACTACAGAGAAAGCCTCTTAATTACAGACAGAACTTAATAAAAATGAATTGCAAAGTAAGTAGAAGCTAAGCGTTCGGATCATAAACGCGGCTGTAAAGAGGATTAACCCGGCTTCAGTCATGCAACAATGAGCAGTAAATGTTTAGAGCTGAAGGGCCAACAGCACTTCCAGCTTCTCCAGGGAGAAAATACCACAAAACATACAAAGATAACACAAAAATAGAATTGATCAAATAAACCAACTCTTCATTATTATAGACGTGCATTAACCTTCTGCTTCTTTCATTTAACATGTTTTTTTTTTTTTTCCCTCCCCTGTTTTTTCTCAAAAGGTTTAACCCCAAATGATCTCTGACACCCCAGATGTGACAAAGTCCGAAATGTCATTCAGGGATCCTCCTCAGTGGGACCAGAAAGAAGCTCAGGTTCTGGTTGGAGGAGCTGCTGCTCAGCTTTAAGTGTTAATTTTTGCAAAAAGAGAAACATTTGTTCCTCCTGTAGAGATAATCCAGAGTCGGGTTTTCTCAGCTTTACTTTTTAAACAGGTTTCCTGGCAGAGCTCACATTGCTTTGCACCGTAACAAGGCTCCCAAAGCATCACTAATCCTCCACCATGCTCAATGAAGGGCTGTGAAGCAGCTTTTTTTTTTTTTTTCAGGACAGCTTTAGTATAAGAAAAAATAAAAATCATGAAAACAATCTTTCACTCTTGATTTCCTCCTCCTTAGTCACTAAAACACATTTCATCGCACTTTTACAATATTTAGACCTTTAAACCCAAATCAGAGATTAATGAGTCATGAGTTATTTTGCTTAATACTAAAATCCCAATTATTTTGTAACTATTTGTAACTACTATTCCAACTATTGAGCTTTAAGCAAACAGCGGTTTCAACATTTAAAGGATAAAGATCTGCTTATTTTTATTGAAAAAAAATATATATTTTTTTTTAGTAAAAGGTCATATAATTAGAATAAATACATATATCTATATGTATATAAGGGTTTAGTGCATCAGATTAGAGATAAGTAGAAACCTATAAATCAATCAAGTTAGTCAGCTTTGAATAAATAAGAACTTTAAATTTATAGTGGAGGACTTTTGCAAATTCTTTTTCTTTTAAAACAAATGCACATGCACAACCCCGTACCTGAGGGTTTAATAGAGGGAACGTGCATTAAACCCATGCAAGAGCGTGCACGAGTCCATTTCTCCTCGTGCACGCTTTGTTTAAAAGTTGCTGTTTGCATCGCTCATACAAGCTTACTTTCCAAAAAAAGATTCACATTTTTTCCAATATATCAGACTCACCGCCGGTAAGTGAAAATGGGGACAAGCACGTAGGACGGCCTTATGTAAAGATATAACCACAATGATTAACAATTTGGAGGACCACTTATTTTGATGATCCACCCAGAAAAAGATCATCCTCCACTATACCTTTAAGTTTCCTAATCACTTCCAATTTTCCAAGTGCTGTAAACCTCCTCTATCCATTCACCAGGACCACATGATCTACTGTCCTCAACTGAATCATGGTGTTTCTCAGGTTTAGCTAAAACCTGTTTTTTGCAACTTAATGCAGAAAGTTGCCATGATGTATTTATCTACAGAAGGCAAACACCAAGCATGTCTTAGTCTAGTTCTAAAGGAGAACAATAAAGGCCTTCTCATTTGGCAGTCATAGACTCATCAGCCCAAAGACTGAAACTGACTTATGAAGAAAATCATAAACATACCACAGCATCTGCATTGGCTGATCTAGTCTCCGCCCCTTTTCTATAGCTGTGGATGTCTGTGCTGAGGATGAAAACTGCTACAGCGACACACTTCCACTTGTTTCATTGACACTTTTGGAAAGCAAACAGCCTTCTTCCTTTTTGGGAAAGTAAGGCCTAAAACAATAGAGGGGAAAGGCAGAAAGGAAAACTGGATTTTCTGCATCCGTGAAGCTGCAGGGAGGGTCGCATGTAGTTGAATCATTTTCACGCAAATCTTTCAACTTTGCAGCTAAACATGTCAAACCCTCTGAATAAAACCATTTCTCTTCCATGACCTAATAGGTTTGTGTAACATATCAGATCCCTAAGTGAACTACAAGAGGGGCTCTTCCCCTAATGAAACGTGATAGTCACCACTTATAAAAGGCAATTTCAAGTGTTACCAGCGGGCAGGAAGGACTCACTGACCTCATGAAGAGCCTCACTGGCGACTTGGTGCCCAACATCTGGAGAGGAAGGAAAGAATAAAGGAAGAGGACATCAGAAATGAGTCAGACTTTCTGGGGTGCAGCCTGTCATCAGCTCATAATACACAAGTTACGAAAACATAAGAGTCGATAAAAACGTCCAATTGTTCTATCAATCAGCTCAAATGAGGAAAAACTTCAGCCTCCTTGGAATGGTCCCTCCTTGTTTTTATTTTATTATTCTTTCACGGGCAGAGGTTTTATCCACTTTATGGGAACATAAAGTTTCAAAATAATGAGCAGACGCAGAATATGGCCAAATAATGGAGTGTTTCATTGGAGTCATTTGACAGCTGATTAATATGACGTGTAGCTATTATTCAAGACGTAAACTATGTTGGTTTTAATAAAGTTTCTGCTTTAGTTTGAAGAGCGAAAATGTTTTCAGGAAACCAAAACCAATCAGTCCAGACAGGAAAACAGCTGCAGTGTTCATATTTCCCTTATTTTAACCTTCCATCTGTTCTGATCTTTTAACCAAACACACTATCTAGGTGTGTAGAAAGTAATTCATGAGTGCTAAAGCCCCAGCTGATGACTCAGTGATTTCATTTCAGTGTCTTGGTTAAATGATTGATTAAGGTCCAGTAAAAGATGAACCCACCCATTTCTGGCTGCTCCCTCCATCACTCACTCTTATTACAAATTCAAGTTCATGTGAGTCATCCTGTCTGGACAGGGCAGCTCGGCAAACAATGACTGGTTCCTCCAAACGTCTACAGACACAGGAAGTTTCTCACTCGGACACGTTTCTACCAGGACGTCCCAAAAAGGGAAAGTCTTCTTGCAGCCCGGCGTCCTTCCTGACCACATCTCACCTCCCCTGTGCCTCTTGCCCTTCTGCTTCTCCTGGACCTTCCTGGTGAAATGTTTGTAGGCCTCCGTTTTCTGGTACTTCTCCAGCTCTCGCATGTAGCGCTCCTTATCCCGCTCCGCTTCATCCAAATATCGCTGCAGAGAGAGAGAGAAGACTTAAAGGTGAGAGAGGAGGAAAATGAGATTTGGCAAAATTGAGATAGGGGTTAATTATTGCTCATCAAGATTTCCTTTGGAAGATAAAACTCTGAACTCTCCACTGTTGGTTATCCACATCCTTCATTTCCCTAAACAGAGACCTTTACTTCAATATCATTTATAAAGAAATTCATTCAACTATGGCTGGGCGATATGGCCTAAAATAAAATCTCTGATTTATTTATTTTTAATTAGAATTACGATTCTTTTCCGATTTTCCCCCCAACCTCTAAACCTCCACATGATCCCCTGCCACCCGTTGTGCATATTTACACTAAAAACACCAGTTAAACTATTAACATTAAAGATCTGTTATAAACCCTTAGAAATCATAGATTCTGTACAACTCAAAAACTAAGTTTTTTTTTTTGTGGACACCATGAGCACAAATAATGAAGATATAGCAGCGTATTAAATCAACATTTTTTAAAATAAAGCTTCGACTTTTGAATCTTAGATTGTTTATATTCCATTTGTCCGTAAGGGTCCACAGATAAAACAAATTCAGCATTGTAAGGAAGAAATTCCAAGATGAGAAAATTGCCACATAAAATCTTTTTTTTTAACCATCAGAAAAGTCCCATCCTTATAGCTAATGCTAACAGTTTTGCTAATGACCCCAGCTTCCACAAACATTTCTGGTTGATGTTTGGTACGTTTGTTTTCATCACCTTCCAGCCTAGGCTTCTAGCTGAGGTTTGTTGGTTTGTTCGTCTCAGAGAGACTGGCATTTATCATATTCCTCTGAATGTCTCTGTTTAAATGGCTGAAAAAGGTTTGTGATGCTGCTTCCTTTAACTGCGACTGTCTTTAGGTAAATGTGGCAGCGTGCGGTTTCTTGGGGTTTCCAAACCAGTTCCAAACGCTGGATGATTCTATTCCTTTTTTCAGGACTAACTAACTTCCATTCGGATGGGTAGCCATGATGTTACTTGCCGAACTGCACTGTGGGAGTAATACTCCACCTATGGAAGCCCTGGGGAGCCAAAATTGTGGCGTTATACAAAAAAAAAAGTATTTTCTTTTTTTTCTTTTTTAAAATCACCTGCAACAAAAAATTCAAATTCATTGCATCGATTTTTCGCCCAGGCATCGAAATGTATCTTCTTAACCGAAAAGCCTATATCTTCCACACAGGCTGATCAGATTGAACTTTATAAACTTTATAAGAGATGCAGATGCGTCTCAGTGCCGATGAGAAGCTTAATGCAGCTAAAAGTGAGGCGAGCCTTTGCAGGCAACTCAACAGGTTGGTGGTTCACCGTCCAACAGAACAGGGACTGCTGGAGGAAATGCTGGAACGACCTAGACAAAGTTAAGACTGCAACACAACTGGAAATCAACGGTGATGAAATGCATATATATACCTAACTTCATTCCTGTGTTGTAGACGTTTTATGCAGGTTTTTATAAAACAGATGGGAACCACGTGGGAAGCTCTAAAGCAGCTTTTGCAACCTTCAAAATCCAAAAACCCTGAACGTAGCTGAATAAAAGCACATTAGAGATAACAGGACATTTTGATAAAATATCTCTTAAAAACGAACTGTGTTTTGGTACCAGAACCAAAAGTGAATTTGTATTTTTGGGTTTTAGAATAAAGAAAAGCATCTTTTCCATAAACAGGAAACATTGATTTTCTGGATGTTTATTTGTGGAAGATTATTTAAAACTAAACACACAAATATAATTGTTCTTTTGTCATTTTATTTTGTTGTGAAAATAAAATTTCATTCCACTTTCAAAAATGGTTGAAGCCTCTAAAACTGGCCTTTGTTATTTTAGCCATTGCAGGAGGTCCAAATAGCCCCTCATGACTCGAGCCGCAGCTTACAGACCTCTGCTCTATTACCTGCAATGTGTCAAACTGCGTTAACCTGGAAGGGAGAGAAATAAGGTTTTGTGAAGAAAGGATTTCCCTCTGCTAATAATAATAATAATCTCTTTTGCCACATTTACACTACCCCATGAGACCGATCTGTGTCGAGGACGGACCGAGCATGGATCAGTTATCTGTGCCCAGCTTGGTTCTTACGACCATTTTCACATCACAGCAGCACGGTTCCTCGCCTCCTATCAGCTGTCCAGGATACTACAGTTCTCAAAGACGGGAATTACGCAAAGAAAAATCTATGTGCCTGGATAGCGTCCTCAGCCCAAATTTCAATGAGAGCCGCGGTCTCAGTATCATCCCAGGTCACACCACTCTCTTTTGATGCCATTTATTGTTAATAGGCTGAGAAGCAGTTCGTGTTGTGAACAGGTGAAGAGATCTGTGAATTACAAAGCTGGACACACCAGAAAACCAGCAAAATGAGTCAGCTGACTGTAAACAGGAGATGACGCGGTGTACTCATGC